CTATGGTCACGAGCTTTGGGTAGTGACCAAAAGAACGAGATCGCGAGTACAAGCGGCCGAAATGAGTTTCCTCCGCAGGGTGGCTGGGCTTAGCCTTAGAGATAGGGTGAGGAGCTCAGACATCAGGGAGGGACTCGGAGTAGAGCCACTGCTCCTCCACATCGAGAGGAGCCAGTTGAGGTGGTTCGGGCATCTGGTAAGGATGCCTCCCGGGCGCCTCCCTTGGGAGGTATTTCGGGCATGTCCAACCGGGAGGAGACCTCAGGACCGCCCCAGGACACGCTGGAGGGATTACATCGCCCGGCTGGCCTGGGAACGCCTCGGGGTTCCCTCGGAAGAGCTGACGGAGGTGGCTGGGGAGAGGACTGTCTGGGCTTCTTTGCTGAGGCTGCTGCCCCCGCGACCCGGACCCGGATAAGCAGAGGACGACGAGATGAGACGAGATAATCAATCTGCATAAGTAACAGTTAATGATGACTAATTACAGTTTGAAACTGTAACGTTAACTAATGCTAAAGATCTAATTTGACTAGAATATTCATTTCACTACTATATACCTGTATATTCCTTGTCTGAGCTTCTCTGAAGAGACTCTCCCTGGGAACTCTGTCACTATGTCAGAGGTCTGGATGCTGAGGCATTTCCCTCCTCCCTTCTTTTCAGCTGCTGTTCCAAGTTCTCTTTCTCATATTTATTTCCTCTTTCATTAAGCCATCGCCGCTGTTATGTGACGGATTAAAGTAGTCAGGCTCGGGCATACTTTCTGCATTGAAGGTCTGTGGACAGCTACAGTCACGCGGACACACACTTGGTTCTGTTCACAGCACAACTGAGGGTCTGCGTCAGGCCTCAGCAGAAAATGGGAGGGCTGGGAGGTGAGCTAAGCATCCTCCTACTGCCAACATTGGGTAAAAGTGAAACTAGGAGGCAGTGGAGAAGCAAAGAGTCATTGCCCTCATACTTCCATGCATCCTTTATGATAGATGACACTAGAGGGCAGAATCAAGTTTCACACAACAAATGAGGTGATGGTGGAGGAGGTTGTAATATTGTACCTTTAAACAGAGGCAGCGTTGTAGATGGCAGTGATCTGTGCAGCCACTATGGGGACCTACATCCCGTGTGGAGGGAGAATACTTTTCACTAAATTACCAATTTGTTCCATTCTGCAATTCTTTAAATTTCTTGGTCGCGTGGACGGACAACCCAAAAACATAATGCCTCAGGCCACAGCTATCGCTGGCACAGAGGCATAAAAACAATGCCTGGAAGAAGATCAGCTACAAACTAGGGATTATTGGTACGTAGATTATGGTTGTTTAGCAACGTCAGGCCCAACCAGCCTCCTCCCCTTGAAAGTTGGCACAAAAGTAGCACCCAGTGTCAGACCTTGCGTTTTCCAGGAGGTAAAAGATGCTGGATGTGTCTCAGCCTTAAGTGATCAAAATAAGCTGTAAATGTGTATTTAATGCTTGTTAAACACAAAAAGTCCACAAACAACTCTGAAAATGTGTCTGCTGAGGACCAGACTGGTTGACCACTTCTTAAACGCATCCTGTGGACATAAGAGGTGAAGAAAGTGGACTGGAGCATCAGTTGGACACTGGTACACTGACTAAACTGGCAGCTGATTGTCTCTGGCAGCAATGATGGAGACCAAACATGTCACAGCCACATCCTGTGGATAACGGGACATAACATAAGTTTTTGAGATTGCTAAGAATTCCTTCAGAGCCAGATTTTTGCAATTTACTATGGACATGTTTGGTTTCAATGAGTTTAAATAAGCTCAACCTGGAGCTAGTCCCAATAACACCAGGAACCTATCCACATCCAACTTCTAATTTGGATTAACGCCACTGTCATACCACATGAATATTAATCAGGGGCATTTTAATGTGCACCTGAATAAACATCAGCTGACCCATTTTACTTGTGAACTAAATGTGGAATTTCCTTCATATACAGCGGACCTCTCATGACTATAAAGTGTATCTTATTGCAGATTGTGGTGTAATCTGAGTGTACACTAAAAACTTTATTTATTTCATGAGAGAGGTCCTGAAAGCCACTGTATTATTACTGGCCTGATATACAAAGTCTGCTGTGTCTCAGGTCGTCTTTAGCAGGCCTTGAGCTGCAGCTTTCAACATCCAGCCCAGCATTTGCCCCGGACATGTGGGCACCCACAAAATCTCCATCTGTCTTACACCAATCTGCCACACAGACAGACACTAAATGCACAGGCACAAGCTCACACACACATATACGTTTACCATTACCATGTTTACTATATCATTTTTAACCTGACCTTTAACATTTGCTTTCATTTCGGAATAATTCCCTCAATGTTGGTTCCCTTCCTCCCTGCTCTGTTTATCTCTGTCACAGACAAAATATGTTACTCAGCTTCACTAATGAGGCAAAATATGTGTTTGCATACTAAACTTAGACCATGACATAGCGAGGTACAGAATGAGTACAGTATGAATAGGTTTAATGATCACAAACAGGATCATTACTTTCTGCAGAGAGGTTTTGATGTGGTAAGACCGTAAATGCGGAAAGGCTTAACAGGGTTCTTTGTTTTTGAAGAACAGCATTTTTCCAGAGTTCTGATTGGCTGCATTCATATATCCTGCAATGTGGTGTCCATTTTGCTCTCACTGTAGCGTTCTATTCCCTTACATGTAGGTCTCTTTGAGCAGCCCTCTCCTGTTTATCAGTGTCACCTTTGACTCTCAAGGCTTGGTAAAGCTGCAAGGCATCATTTAATCAACATTTGATAGACGTAAGCAAACTGTATTGCATGCAACAAATGTAACCAGCTAACCATGCTAGCATCAAACAGTGTATTTCTTATATGTTGGTATTCATTTGGTGAACTTTTCGGTTTGTTTATACTTTGGGCTTTTTGGTGGAAGAGAAGCCTGTAACAATGGGAGCAATATTCGAATCTTACACTACTGTAGATAAAAGAAGACAATGACAGCAGGTCCTAAAACTATTCTACCTCAGCTAAATGTTAAAACTTTTTTGATGAAATGTAAGTGTTCTATGTAAGTTGCATTATTCATTCATTCATTTTTGGGAGTTGTAAAAGACTATTATGCTGGAAACCACATATAAACCCCGTAAAGTCAAATTTGTGAAAGTCTATTGAAGTATAAAACACAAAAACTACAAAACAAAATACATCCTCAATCCAATTTCATCATATCATTCATATATTACCTACTGTGTGGAGGTCTGGGGAAGCACATACAAAACAATCACAAATGCATTTTTTTTGCTACAGAAGAGCACTATAAGAATCATAGACAGAGCTGATTATCATGAGGCAACTAACAAATTATTTATAAACTTACATGCTCTCAATCTTAGAGATTTGGTGGACTTTAAAACTGCACAATTAATGTATTAAGTAAAAAATAAGACGCTGCCAGACTGTACCCAGAAGTTGTTCCAAATTAGAGATTATACAACAGTTAGTTCCGACCGAGTAATTTGATTGGACGAGAGGCATTCAATAAGTGCTGATATAGAGTACAACATCACTGGGACATGTAACAGTAAAATCATTCTGCTCACAGGTGTTATAAATATAAATACAACCGTTAATTAACCAACTGTCACACTCGCTACATTGACGCAAACTGACACTATAGACTATATACACCGACCTATAATTGTCTTCGGCACGAGGCCACAGGCCACAGCCGTGACGATATACAGTACAACATCACTCCCTCTCGTGTGATATTGCTTAAGTGTCAGCATGTCAAAGGAACTTGTATGTTTATAAAAACACATATTAGAACAAATGCAAAACAAAGATGTGTAACAGTCAAATGAGTTAATGGGTGGAGTAGCTTTGAATAGGAAATGAAAATGTGTCCAAAACTTGATGAATTAAGATGATTAACAAATAAAAAACCAAGTTATGAACACCAGTGTGTATATGGATATTTGTTTAGGACTTAAGGATATATATAATATATTGTGTTTTGCTCATTTCTTCATTCTCATTGTATAAAACTAAAGAGAACAGTACAAAACTGTTCACTGACAAAGGGTGGGTGCGATAAGCTGAGACTTCAGCCTACACCTTTTTGGTTGAATTGTCTTTTGCAAGACATGTTTTCCTCACAAATACAAAATGTTAACATTATCAGCATAAGCATAACATAACATATATTAGCCTAGCAGCTAGTAGACTTTACTCTACTCATATGAAGCCAGGGTAAACCAGACACAAGATTTAAAATGCTATTTAGTGAAGGCTTTATTGTCTTTACAATTTATTAATTCCTATCAACGAAATAAACATTTAAAAAAGCTTAATTTCCACTGAGAGAAATGGTTTCAGCTGACAAAAATAAACTATGCTACGGCGTAAGGTATGTGTCTACACAAAACCAACATTGTAGGTGAGCTGTCTATTAAACACAGGAGTCTAAAGCCTGCTGAACTCTTTGTCAGTGATGTGTTTGAGAATAACCAATTGTGAAGAATTACTAGTAGCATGATTTTTTGTAGTTAGTAGGGGAAATTAATTTTTTTTCACTCGTTTGTCTTATACACACAGGCCCAAAAATACACACACAAGCACAAACAAGTCCTGTATATGCATTAAGGCGGTTCAGTGCCTTGTTCAAGGGCACCTCAGCGGCATCTCTCCAGCTTCCAGTGAAGGCACCATACTCAGCCCATACAGGGACTTGAACAAGCGACCCTCTGGTTCCCAAGTCAAGTCCCTATGGACTGAGCTACTGCCGCCATTTCTTATGCTTGTATCCCTTTTCTGACTTTAGAACTTAAGAAAACTAATTCAAATCACTGGTAAACTTAGTTTAGACATGTGATGCTGTCAGTTTTGGGAATGTTACTTTTAAAATGCATTAAGTTACAGATTAATAGTCACCCTATTAAAATATAATAAGTAATGTAACTATTTTCTGACATTTTTATGGCTCACTGCAAAGATCAACAGGGCTCACCTGATGTAGTCGTTCTTGCAGAGGATCATGCCTCCTTTGCTGTAGCAGGTGCTGCTGTATTCGCCCAGCTGAGCATGGCAGCAGGAGCACTTGAGGCACTGCGTGTGCCAGTACCGCTCCATGGAGAAGAGCAGGAAGCGGTCTGCGATTCGACCTCCACATCCTGCACACAGCCTGCCCGCTGTCCCTCCGCCACCGCCCATCACTGCCACCGCGGGTGCCTCCACCCTGCTGTTAACCATATCAACCTGAAGACAGGGCAAGGAGGAAAGTGAAGAGGACAAACAGTTGAGGCAGGACAGTGGAAACAGAAGTGGAAACAACTGAAATAAATACATGGCACCCTATGAAAAGCTCCAAACTAATTACTCATCTAAAATTAATGTCCGCAATCATCCTTATCCTTATAAAAATGTTTGTCTGAATGTAGGTCGATATAATATTGTTTATCAAAATTTGGTATTAACACACTAGTGTGTTTATGTGTGTGTAGTTGACACAATTTTAAAAGTTTTTCAGGAGGTTGTTGGCTTTTTTTTTTTTTTTTTAAATCAGTACAAAAAGTTAATTTAGGTGACTAAATTGTTATTGTGATCAGCAAAGTAGACTTAAAACTACAACTTATCATGCAAGCCTACTAAGGCTGTATAATATCTGTGAATTATTATAGACAAATAAACATAAATTGTATAAGTATTTTCTTTAAATTGTTTATTTTTCTGTTACTCATGGGGCTGCCCCCAATCGCTGAACAGTCGAGAAGCACTCTGACCTGACTCACATTTTATCTGTTGAATCTCTGCAGTTCTTCTGGCCTCCGTCATTGTTCAAAGAGCGACAGAATAACAGCATGGAAAACTGTACACTTTTACAAACTAAGTCTGTGATACATGCTATTATTATCATTTTGAGACCATTTTATGCCACTGATATAATAAGAATGTGGCACTGGAACTGGAATATGAAAAAAAGGAACATATTTTGTTAAAGTTACAATGTGTAATTTACATGGTTGTTTATTAGCAAATATCAACTATTGCTTTCATAAATATATATTTACTAAAGTGTAATGCAATTCACATACAAATGGAAGCTTTCTCATAGGCTTAGAATGATTTCTCTATATATACACAGGCAGGGCGCGGTCTGCTGGAGGCTGCCTTCTTGTGTCGCCATATTTGAATACAGTGGCCGAAAGGGATATACGCGCTTCGCCTTTCGCATTTACCTAGAACTTGCTGTCACTGGAGACGGTTAAGGTGAAGATGAATCTGGGGCGCTTCTGCGTGAACCTGCTTTGTACTTTTATGATTCTGTCGCACTTTAAATGGAGGACCACACACATGTGTTGCCCTGTAAGAGGGAAACCACGCCACCAAATAAAAGAAAAAGATCAGATAAGCGAGGACGGGACAAAACGTGAGTGAATATCGGCGTTGCTTATTCCAGGTGGAAAGAACTCCTGTGGAAGAACACTCTGGAAACGCATATATTATAATCGTACCAACCTATATTTGCCGCACTGTGCCGTGACTATCACATAAACATGTTATTTTAGCATTACTGTGCTAATGTTTGCTCGTGTTACCAAAACAATTAGAGATAAAACACTCCTAACATAACGTTATATCTCACAGATAACCTATATCTCACTGGTAAGCTATAACATATTGTAGCGCCCGCCAGGACATGTGGAAAGGATGACGCAGTTATTCGGCAAACCACCGTTTATTACTGAACAGTACAAGTTACTGTTGGCCGTAACTACACCAAAACAACCAACAAACAAGAACTTAGCTGTAACTCCAACTGTGCACTCCTGCTCTCTCCTCCAGCTTGCTCATACACACACCAGCACCCGCACTCACACAGCTCTCATCCCCGTCACACTCACACCCCGCCCCCCTACCTATACTCATTCAATCCCATGCCAAACATGCCATTAACTCACAGAACATTGACATTATAACAGAACATTGATTGCAGGGTCACTACAATATCGTAATATGGTTTAGATTCCTAAATAAATATTCTCATCACTAGATAGGCCTACTCCTGAAAAACTTGAAAAACTCGTGGATGATACCATCTCTGTCTGCGCAAGGCTTTTTGTCCTATGAGGCCACTGTCACTTACCCGACGGGAGGGGTGAGCGGGTGAGCGTGAGTGAGAGCTGCAATCTAGAATTTGCTTGCTGATGTCACTGTTACTCAACATTTTTACAAACTGAGGCTTTAATAAGTAATTTACACCGGTTAATATATACAAGAAAGTATATATAAAGTTACAGTACCTTTATAAGAGTAGCCCCAAGTAGCATCGCACTGCTTCTCTTGCAAAAAAGCCTATGGGATTTTTTTCATTGGATTTTGAGTTATTGCAGAAAATAATCCCGTTTTGTTGAGTGAGATAATCTTCACAAGTAAACAGCACATTCATTATTTTTCAAGCATAAATGCAACTGCCAGAAGTAAAAAGCTGACATTAGGCTATAAACCAACTACAACATACTTGCATGACTTAATGTTGCCACCACAATGAGACAATAAGGCCATGTTCGGCATGATGATATTCTGTAGTCTCATTTAGCCACCTGTTAGCAGCTGCCTTTTTAAAGACACCTAAAAGCTAAAAAATTCACAGTGGGGTATTTACCGATGTTTAACGCCATAGAACGAAAAGTGAAAGTCTCTTAAGCTTGTGTTGACGACAGACCTTATTTCAGGCATCTAACCAAAAACCCATTCACTTTGAGATGAAGGAATGGGGAGTACAAAAATGCTTACTCATTTACGGACTTCAAGACTCATTCCTGGAGCACTCTATGTTGGTCAAGAAAACCTGCTGTTTATTCTGAAATTCGTAGGCAAACAAAACACAATGGGCAATATTGAGGTCAGCAAAAAGGTCATATCCACATATCGTACGATAAGTGCATACTGTAATTATGTAAAAGTCTCAAGGTTAACTTAATGAAGCTCAGCGTAAGTTCAATCAGGAAGACTTTCTTTATGCTTTATCTGTTTAAATCAATTCTCTCTCTCTCTATCCCAATCTCACCACTTCCTCCAATCAGCTGATTATTGGCGTTCCTTCTCCTAGATAGCCAATCAAACTTTTCCACAATCTCCTTCAGTCATTCATGTTGCTGCTGCCAAACTTTAAACCTGTTCTCCTCTCTGCTTGTGTCAGCTGTCATTTTAGGCCGAATTGTCACACCCTCCTTCACCCCATTCACCTCCAATCACCTTATCCAGAGTTCAGGACGAGCTTACTAAAGGCCCACTCCTCTTTACATCCACATCCTCAGTTTCCTCTTCATCTCATCTCATCACCACTATTACTACCACCGGCGTCTTGGCTCCAAAGGGGGGGCTCCCCCATCTACTACATCTTAATCGCCCTCCTGGAATATTTGACATCACGATGGGGTCTAATTGCCAAAGTCTTTTCACATTTCTCATACTTATGTGCACATGTAAAAAAAAAAAAAAATTCTCACAGAATGAGTCTCTCCTGATTGAACTATAAAACTGTGTAAAAAACAATAAGGAGAAAAATTCTCAGCCCACAGTGACATCTTCAAATGTTTTGTTTAATTTGACCAACTGTCCAAAAGCCAAAGATATTTGGTTTTTTAATGATGTAAAACATAAAAAGTAGAAAAACATCACATTGGAGAAGCTGAAATGTGAATGTTTGGTATTTTTTCTTTAATAAATGATTTGAATGAGAAGCCGACATTTACAGAGGCCCTAACTTAAACATCTAGGTAGGTCATGTGGGATCAACCCAAAAGTCTGGCTGTACCTGTGTAAAAACTTGAGAAGAAAACTTGAGAAGAAAACCAACAGCAAGTTTTCACATCTTATCCACAGTACATTTACTGTGCTCAGAATTTAGAATTACAACAGACAGAAAACACAGCTATGTCTTCCCAAATGTGGCTCTTGGCACCAGATCCAATCGATTGGTTTTGGAACTTCCTGGTAAAAAGCTTAGGGCTATTTACTTGTGGGGGCATGGGAATGTGAAACCCCAACAGGAAAACAAAAAACACACATACACACATACACACACACACACACACACACACACACACGCATTAGAGAGTTGCTTTTTTACACCAAACAAGTTCAAAGTTGTGTCCAACTGAAACAAAACCACACACGTGCTTTTTTGGGCCTGCAATAACTCTTATTTTAACTTGATAATATGTCCCAAGAGAAGGCTCTTTGAAGCTGTGCAGCATTGCTGCTCTATGACAGGATGCAGAGGCCTACACTTTCTGGAAATGAAGTTCATTTGATTCAGCTGCTCATTTCTTTATCATATCTTTTAACCGTTGTGGAAACAAAACCCAAACTTTTAGTAAATCCATTATAACATTATAACAGTAAAGTAGCTATAGCTGCTGGTGGAAACAGAGCTTAACATATGCCATCAGGCAACATTTACTATATTTCTCTTTTCTTCATTTTTCCATTACAAAACTGAACTGATTTCATGCACAGCTGGGAGTAATATTGCTTTTGAATCACACTGAGTACAACCATAGCAGTATGTGCTACTCAGCAATGAGTCAGCAACACTGCCTCTTCAGCCGCTTCCATGATTTATAATTAGCGCCAACAACAACATAAAATAATTGCAGGGCTAGATTTCATTTTCCAAATGAGCAACAGCAGCACAATTTGTCCTCTAGAGCGTCTAATTTCAGCAAGGGCATGTTTAGCTTTACAGCGAGCCTTCCCACAAGATTATTTGAGATTGCAGCAGCTGGTCCTCTGCACTGAAGCAGACTGCCCTCAATACCCTCATTTTCTAGAGTAGACACCTGGCTCTAATCAGCCACAGGAACACCATGTTAAGAAGCCCAAGGCTGCATTAAAACCACAAACAGCCTCATGCACTGGGATCAAACCTCCCTGTTAGTGAAGGCTTATTCATGAATGAGCTGATCTTTTGAATGACTTGAAAAAGTGAGTCCAACTGTCTAATTCACATATTTCACTTTTCACTATATTAGCAATAAATTCTCTTTTTAGAGCCTGAAATAATTTTAGGGGTTTCTAATATTTTGCCCTTTTTCAACATTTACACTGCATATACAACAACAGCATGGGTAAAAATTAGATCACCCCCCACATGACCATCTGTGTATCAGTTACTCTGTTACATTGAATTCATGAAGAAAACCTTCTTGCATGCCTTCACGATGAACAAAGAATCCAAAAACAGAGACAGT